CGAAGAGAGGACTCTTTGGAAAAGACCCTGATGCTGGGAAAGATTGAAGGCAAAAGGAGAAGGGGACGTGTCAGGCCTAGCCCAAGGAACTCCAAGAGACAATGCAAAATCAGTCCAGCTATGTTTATTAGCTACAACCTCTAGCAAAAATCTCCCCAGCCTAAACCCCCAGCCCCCAAGCCAGCCAGCCACAACAGTGTGAATTCCTCAGGGAGGTGCCAGTCTCATCCTCTTGTAGTTCCCACGCTCCTGCGGCGAGCTAAGAAAATGCTTATCTCCCTGAGCCTGGCCTTCATCACAAGGAGGCAGCTGTCTCAAGCATCTGGTATAATCAGGGAAATCCCAGGGGACCCCACCCTGCAACGCGGCTAGCAAAGCTCCCACTGCAGCTGATGCCACAGAGCTGGGTGACAGTGTTTTCCAAATGGAATTCCCCACTTGCTTGGCACATTTGTGACTATTAGTATCATTGGGCTGACCACACTAAAGCCACCTCAAGCCTACAGAGATCCTTGGTTTCTAAGAACCAGTTGAAGCATGTAGAAATATCACATTGGGTGGTTCTTCCTGAATTGGACCACTTTTAGACTCCTGGTAGGTGAAGCACAAGAAAGCCAGTTTGGTGTAGTGGTAAAGGCCCCAGACTACAAACCGGGAGACCGTGAGTTCTAGCCCCACCTTAGGCAAAAAGCCAGCTGATGACCTCGGGCCAATCAAGGGCAAACCACTTCCTAAATCTTGCCAAGAAAACTGCAGGGACTTGTCCAGGCAGTTGCCAGAAGTCAAGACTGACTCAAAGGCATTTAAAAAAAAAAAAAAAAAAAGGCCAAGCACAGCTGGGCTGCCCAACCCTTAACCACGGAGCATGTGTTAGTACCCACATGCTGGATAACAGCTGCAGATGGATTAGCTCCCCACAGCAGAGCTCAGGGAAGGGAAGGGAATCCCAGTGATGGTGAACTTCTAGTTTGCATACATGCACGGCCTGGTGGTGGCATTAAGAACAAGAGGACAGATTCCCCTCTACCTCCTGAATGCTGCAGGGTGGAGGGAGTTGCCACCATCATTGAAAGATGGAGATTGGCCACCGCAAACACGGACCTTTGATCTCCACAAACGGGAAAGTAGCCAAAGTCCACACTCACCACACCGGGGGGAGGATCACCCCACACCCCTAGACCAAAACCTCACCCCCAAGTCTTGAGCTGTGCCAGGATCTATCCAGATACAGCTATTTAATAAGCAAACCAGAAGTGCACAGTCTGAAGCTTCATGACCTCCTTGGATGTCTTTGGAATGGCTTTCAAAACATTTTTTTTTATCTAATTCTCTTTATTTCTTTTACTGGGCTTACAAGCTGCTCCAGTCGATGCCCACTCTGAGCGGTGCACATCCCAACTCGCAAACTGAGTTAAAACATGTCATCTGTATGGCAATAAAATAGTAGCAACCACAGTTCATAAAAATAACAATACCCAGAAACATCTAGTACTGGGAATCACCCATTCAACGGCTACAAAGCAAAAACAACTTCCATTAGTCAAGGGAACAGGTCAAATTATTCCACACCAAAGGCATGATGAATTAGCCATATTTTGATGGTCCTCTTAAAAACCATGAGGGACAGGGCCATTCAGATAATTGGGAGAATACTTCTGTTTGCATCAACCGTGTCTGCAGGGGTTCAAATGAGCCCTATCCATATTGTTGTATTGGTATAATGTTGTGTGTGTGTGTGTGTCCAAAAGGGGTGGGGCTTGACACACAAGTTGATGATGCAATGCTGCATTCCTCATTCCAGCCAATGGAGCAGGAGTCTATGGATCCCCATGTCTGGCCTTGTTAATGTTACAAAGGGAGGAAATTACTGAATAGATGACTGGATGCTAATCATTTGATTGGTTGACCGAGTGAGCAAGTGAGTGCCACCAAGTCAGTGTTGACTCATAGCAATCTACAATAGCTTTTCTCCCCAGTTTGGTCCTTCTGTTCTCCCAACAGTGCCCCCATCACCACTGCAACTGAGTCTATCCATCTTGCTTGCTGATCATCCCCTTCTCTTTCCTTCCATCTTTCCCAGCATTATAGACTTCTCCAGATTGCTGAGGGATTGTGTGTCATCACATTGGTGTCAACTCATAGTGACCACATAGATAGATTTTCTTCAGGACGGTCTGTCCCCAGCTTGATTCTTCAGATCTTCCAATAATGGACCCATCACTGCTGTAATCAAGTGCATCTCCCTTGCTGCTGGTTGTCCTCTTCTTCTCTTTCCTTCCACCTTTCCCAGCATTATGCACTTTTCCAGAGAGCTTGGTCTTCAGATAATATGTCTAAAATAGGTCATTTAACTCTGGATTGATTTGTTCTATGAAGGAATCTTATTAATGGGACGTAACTGTGAAAAAATGTCATTGTAAACAAAATGAAATCATATTTAGTTATTGTCATGGCTTCACCCTCTACATCATACCCTGGCATACCCCTCTAAAGACAAACATGGCACCTGGCCTGGAAAAAATTGTGCCCCATTAAGCTAGGGTGAGAACACACCCACTCAATTAGCCAATAGGCCAATCAGAAACTGATGCACTAACACTGTTAGAGGAGTGAGAATGCAACATTTCTGGCCTGTTTTGCGGGGGAGTTGGGCTGGGAAGATGGGAATATCTTGCCACAGTGAGGCCTTAGCTCCCATTCCCATCCTTCCAACCCACACTAAAATGAGTGAAGCTCAAGACAGCTGAAAATGCATCAATTCGTCATCACGTTTTGGCAGTATCCTGTAGTGCTCCATGGGCCATGCAGGGGGGTGGGATGAGTGACCTTCTCTTGCCTTAAACCATACAATGCAGTTCTCACAACCCTGCAGCAGTGGATAAGAATTAGCTAATATGTATTTAAATAGCATAATAACTTGAGATGCTACACATCTGAAGATATCTGTTAAACTTTGCAGCTGCTAGGAACGTTCCCCCCATCCCTCCCTCAGCCACCCTTCGCCCCAGCCTTGCCTTGAGTTTCCACCTGCTCCCTCTGCACAAAGGGTGGGCCTGTCATTTTCATCCTCCCCCCACATGGTTCTCTGCAGCATGAGGCTTCCCGAAACATTAAGCCTTCTTCTACTACACATGCAACGGGTGAGCGGGTGAGCGTCAATGAACTGTGGTTTCTCTGAGCAGAAAAAGGAAGTGGCCACTTCACACATACATGCATGCATTCTCTCTCTACAAAGACAACGCTTCAGAAGGGGACAGCAGAGCGGAGCGGAGCAGAACGGTGTTCTGGAATCGAGGGAATCGTTTGGGAGGAAAGGCAAAGGCACAAGTGAGCCGATGAATCCACAAGGTACCAGCTGCTCGGGGACGTGTCTTTAGGGAAGCAACGCGGAGCCTCTTGCAATTGAGAGATGAGAGGTGTGGAAAGAGAGGAGCATTGAGAAATGATTAACGGCAAAAGAACCAAAGGGACCCACGGAGGGAGGGAGGGAGTGGAAGACACCAAAGACTGGGCGAAAAGGGAATCTGGATAGGTTTTGCCAAGCAGGAGCGCGGGAGAAGACCCAGAGTTGTGAAAGGAGGTGAATGGGAAACCCCAAAGGCTTCTACTTAAGGAGGTCTCCCAGATGACCCGCAGAGCTTTAGCTGAGCAAGGGCTGGAGCTGTTATCAACCCCTGGATCTCATGAGCAGATATTCTTGTAAGCAAAGGCGCATTCCTTTACTTGGAACTCAGTTGATTAAGCTGGCCATGACATCCTGTTAGAACAAGCTAGTGCTCAAAGCCTCCGACCGAGGCATGGCGACAGTCCCACCTTGAAAAGCAGGAAGCAGGGGTGTCTGCAGGATATGGTCAAAAAAGTCACTATGGCGGCCAACAGGGTTTCAATGGCACCATCGCAGCTGCCAACTTGACTTTTTTGAGTATGTCTTGCAGACACCCAGGGCAGGAAGCCTTACAACTAGGTGCACAAGTGTTCCAGTGTTGCATGTTGCGTGACAGGCCAGCAAGTATGCTCTAAAGAGAGAAGGTGGGTCAAGGACAAGAATTAAAATTAATTTTGCATATATTAACTTATGTTTAGATTTCATTCTCTCCTGATAGGGTTGCTCTTTAATTATGTGTTTGATCATGTCCCATAGAAAGAATCAAATGGTAACAAGTTCTAGCAGTCTCCAGACAGGGACCCCATGGCTTTCAGTGGCCACCGGCAGCCTAGGGGCTCCATAATTGTCTGTCTCTGCCTTAGAGCACAAGCTCTCAGTTCTGACCTGTGTTTCTCAACCTCGGAACTTGAAGAGGTGTGGGCTTCAACTCCCAGAATTCCCCATGGCTGGCTGGGGAATTCTGGGGGTTGAAGTCCACACCTCTTAAAGTCGCCAAGGTTGAGAAACCCTGATTCTGACTTTCTAAGCTTTCGCCTTCTCTCTTTTATTCTTTATATGGAATGGATGGCCAAGCCATGACCCTAAGCTGTCGTGTCTTCTCCAGGCTTCCTTCTGGAAGCTCAAAGTTCCCTTTGAACATATCACCAAATTTCTGTGGGGCAACTGCTGAAAAGGAATGTTCTACCCTAAAACAGGTGATGTTCTGAAATGGGGTTGACACAGTTAAAAGGAAGAAGAACCACAGTGGTGGCCCTGGTGATGTCACGGGCATCAAGAGGTCATCACACAAATTATGCAAACTTAAATTTAAATAGTTGAATGCTGAGCTAAACTGAAAATAAAACAATTAAATAATCAGAGTGTCAGCACTTAAAAGTCACATTCAAGTTATGAAACATAAAAGTCAGCATTTGCATATTTTTGCCAATGATGTCGCAACACACTTGACATCATTTGACCCCCTTCCTAGCCCCTTCCCTGAAAAACTCTATGCAGGAGACCTCAGTGGAGTGGAGTGGAGTGGAGTGGAGTGGAGTGGAGTGGAGTGGAGTGGAGTGGA